TTTTTTTTTTTTTTTATAAGAAATGGAGAAATATATTGAATAATAAGAAAAGTACAGTAAAAACTCCATCACATGGCATATAGCCTAACGCATGAGAGCTTAAAATGTAGAATCAGCAGCAGAAGCATAACCTACAACCTAGTAACAGATTTAAACTATGCTCATGACGAATATAGACAATTAAGTAAAGAGAGCAATCTGCAACTAGAGATTGCAAATTGCAATCGCTGTATGGGTTAAATAGGGCTACTAATGTAGAAAGGAAAGTCCCTATGAGCATCGAAAGCTACTAGACGTCCTCACCTAGTTAACCAGCTTCTCGGGGAGAGAACGGATTTTGGCAACAAACAATCCCCAAACTATAGGTTGCCATCCAAGCTATTTCTTAAAAAATAATAAGCAAGAGGAGGGGTGTGGTCCTCCTCTGTGCAGTCGCCAGGTACCCTATTCGTCTGCAAGTGCATCCAAACATATGCCCATCTATTCCAATCCTCAACAATCCCTGGCTATCATAGGTTAATAAGGGATCTAGAGCCCCTTTACCAGCTTGAGGGCCATGTTGCCCTTGCAGAACACCATCATCTTCCTTCATAGCATGGAAATTTGACCTTCCACACCAAAACCCGCTTATATCCCCCCACGCAGAACCTAACCAGAAGAAGAGAAGGCCCCTCTCCTTTTCCGATTTGCTCAAGGTAGCATTGATGGCACCTAAATGCAGCCAAAGCAGAGGGGAATCCATCTCTGGTTGGTCGGAAAACCATGTTAAAAGCCATTGACATCCACCCGGATCTACTATTACAACCTCAATGTGAGATGGCTTCTCTCGACACAATTGCTCACAAAACAGCAAAGCCCACCCTAGATCTAATAATGGCGAGAAAGAGGAAATTTGAACGGCAAACTCATCCTGCCAAAACAGATTCAAGCCACCCCTTCTCTCAGCACAATTGCACGCGAAACAGTGAGCCAACCCTAGATCTATTCAGAACAAAATCATCTCCATCGCCGATTGCTGTGATGCAGGGAGCAAAGCAGAGTTCGGCATTTGTTGGAGGCACGATTTAATTGACTCAAAAAACAAATAAACCTCTCCGAGATTGCGATGAGTCCAGGCCACCATAAGCAGATGAGCCATGGGAAGAAACGAAAAGAGAAACCGGGGGAGAAGCCCTGCACGAAAACAGGGAGAAACGCTTAGGCGAGGGGCTCGACCGTCGCGAGGAAACCCTAGCAGTGGCGAGAGAGTAATTCGATTTTTTTTTTTATAGGCACTTTCTTAATTTGTCACATAATAGATGGACTACCAAATTTCAAATGTCACAAGTTCTCTATCTATTAAAATAGTATAGATGGTAAATGTGACATCCTATATGAATAGAACACATAGGTATAAGACAAAAAGAGAAGTGGGTAGTATCTTTTGACTTTCTACAAGTGATGCAAACTAGTAGTTTGTGTATGTACTACCTAATACGATATAGGCCCTTGTCCTGTGCACTTTGCCCTTTGCTTTACCTTAGTGACTAGGTTAGCATAGTAACTTCACTAAGAGTAGCTTACCAATTACACAGGTTTTGACCAAAATGGCTCATTAGTTAGGAATTTAGGAACCTCATAACTACGTAGTTTTATTAAGTGTTTTGTGAGAGTCTTCTCAAAATAAAATGAAGTAAAAAAGCTTTACCTAGTTCAACCATTCCATATAACACATAAGCTAGTTGGGAGCCACCATGTGTACTATAGGTATTTAACTAATATCAATGCCTAGCATACTTTATTCATACATTAACAATTAATAATAATAATAATAATAATAATAAAATGTTTATCAGTCGTACTTATAAATAATTAGGTAAAAATTTCTCAAAATTATATCATTTTAATTAATTTTTATTTAAAAAGTTTAAAATATCATAATTTTTAAAACCAGTGTGGGCTATTTTAGTTTTCACTCATGATATTTTATTCACACATATAAGTGATAAACAGTAATATTTAATAATAATATTAAAGTTTTTATTTTAAAATTTAAATTATAAAATAAAACTTATTTTTTTCAATAATCGTTAAAATATAAATTCTTAGCTGAGAAGACAATCTCCAACATCATTAGAGCCATCCCCTCAAATAAATTTAAGTTGTAACGCCACTTTTTTATGATTAATTTACATTTAATTTGCAATTGTTGTTATAATTAATTTACATTTTGTCAATTTTACCCTTCTTTTAATAGGAACCATGAACGAGTCAAATTCTCTTCTTTATTAATTTATGAGTAATAATAGGGAGAATGAAAATTTGGGATAAAAATTTAGAGTACTATTAATTAATTAATATATATAATATTATAAGCTTAAAAAAATAAAAAAATTAATTATTAGATAATATAAAATTAACATTTTGATATTTTAAATAACGTAACTTATGTCATATTATTAATTTTAGATTTTGGTCTAAATTTTATTCCTACATTTATTATTATTCTTTATTTATTTATTATTATGTTTCTCTTTTCTACCCGTAAGATTAAAATAAGGAAAAAATAAAGCACTTTGAAATTATTGAAACAATAGGTTTATATATAAAACTTTAAATTTATAATTAAAAATTCAAATAATTTTACCGTCAAATAACATGATGGGTGATTGTAAAAGTTCATTCGACATCAATCTAATTCAATCGTAAGGGAGGCATGTTTGAAAAAATGTTATTATAATTATAATTTCTTACCCTCACCAGACAAATCCAAGATTTCGGTGATTCTTTTCTTCACTACCTAGATCAGCGATGTTCCTCCATTTACGTTAAGTGATTAAAAGCATTAACCAAAGCTATTAATCTAAAGAAAGCACCTTGAATCAAGGCTTCCATTCCGTGATCCATGACAAACAGCTATCAGAAACTCCAAACTCACGAAACCAGTCTCTGTCGTCCCGCTGTCTTTGGAGTCATCATTTGACATTACTACAAACCCACGTTATATTACCATATTCTTAATCCCTTCATAATCTTACCCCTTGATCCGATTACGTAACAAAATATAAAACCATCTCATCACAGCAATCGACAGCTGCCATCACAAACCCCACTCTTCCACCCCATGAAATGGTTGTTCCTTTCATTTATTTTTTTAATAATAAGCTGTTTGATTTTTAATTTGTTTACATCTAATCATTAATTATATAATAAAAAATAATTATTTCATTTTTTTTAATTTTTTTCTATCCGTCTTAAAGGAATGAAATGAATATTTTTATTATATAATTAATTGCTAGATATATAAAAAAAAATTTAACTGTTTATTTCTTTTTTATCCATTTTAAAGTTTAAATTCAAAATTTTTAATTTATACTCTTAAAACATAAATTAAAAATAATTTTGTATCATAAATATGTATAAAAAATATAAAAACTATATTAATTTTAAAGTTATTATAACTTTGATAAGTTTAATTAAAGAAATGATAAATTAAATATTAATATTAATTTTTGTAAAACTCTTAACATGTGCTTTAAAATACATGTTAAAAAACATTTATTATTATTAAATATAGTAAAAAAAAAAATAAGGACAACGACAAATTAATGCACATTCTTATGGAAATGATGTCTGCCTTGCTGGCTTTGCGTTAAAACTGGGTATTGGAACCAATAATGCTGCTGAAGTTTGGGCTATTCAGAAAAGCCTTGAGATTGAAACTGCTGACTCTATGTTTGCTGTAACAGCATCAGGCTTCCTGCATTCATATGCCTCTTATTTACTCTTGCAGAACTACTTGGTGTTTCAGTGGAGGAACTATTGTTATTTTGACTCTGTTCCTACTTGCTGTTTTGTGCCTTATAGCCAAGACCCAAGTCATGGCACAAAGCCTCAAACTTCAGTTAATGCAAGCAGCCTTGTTAGCTGTTTCAACCTCCATGCTCCTAAGACATTAAAGTCGCTCAAACAAAACTACGGCCGTGCATCAGAATTCAGAAACCCAAAACAAAAAGGCACATAAATGTGCATCTTTTCCATTTACCAAAGAAAAAAAAAGTACTGCATCTTTTCCCCCTGTCCAAGCGCCAGATGCAGTTTAAATATCATATCAACCCCGACACTTCTGTTTCTTCAATTTCTAAAAGACTGATGAAGACAACGACCAATCCCCACTGAAACATCACGAGCCCCAAATTCAAGACTTTTCATTCTTGTACTTAGCCCCAACATCGAAGTATTTACATTTCTTTTGTTTTCTTAATTTGGGTTTTTCTTAGACATAATGAAAACAAAACGAAGAAACAATACTTACAATAGAACTCAGGAAACATAGACCAAAACTAGCTGACATGAGTTGTGAATCTTGGAATGGAGAATCTGAACTTATCTTCCCATGATACAGAAATGGACTGATTCCCTTGGAATCATCAGGGTGTTGTTGTTTAGGGCATGTTCTGTTTTCACTAATTCCTTCTGTGCCCAAACAAACAGGGGTTTGTAGATATGCAGAGATGTTCTCCTTGTATTGTTGATTGCATGTGCAGAGGCCTTCATTTCCTCTAACATCTAGCCTTTCCCCAAGCCTGTAAATGAACTCGTCTGGGAAAACGAGCTCCCCTCTGAGTTTATTGTTGCTCAAGTTCAAATGGTCAAGATTTGGAAGGGACCCTAAATTTGGAGGGACTGTACCAGAGAGATTGTTGTTGTCTAGGGACAGAGCAGTGAGATTCTTCAGCAAGGACAAGTTGGGAATTGTCCCTGTCAACCCACAGCCTGAGAAGCTAATTGATACAAGCTTCTTAAGGGTGCCCAAAAAGAAGGGTATATGTGAATTAATGGGGTTTTGATCAAGAATTAAGTACTGTAACTGTTCCAAACCAGAGAAAGTCTCAGGGATTGGACCATTGATGAAGTTATGGCTCAAGTCAAGCAACACCAACCTGTTCAGGTTCCCCAATTCTGGAGCTATTTTTCCATGGATTCTGTTTGAGCAGAGATCAACCTTTTGGAGAAGTTGGAGCTGACCCAGGTAGGATGGGACCTCCCCTTCAATGGCATTCCAGCTTAGGTCCAAAATGCTCAAGCTCTCCAACCCTCCAATTTCTTCAGGAATTTCACCACTCAAGTTATTGTAGCTAAGGTCAAGTTGTTCTAATTTGACCAACCCACCAAGCTCAGAAGGTATATTGCCTTGTATATTGTTCTGTGAAAGGCTGAGGACCCTTAGGTCTTTCAAGCTAGATAAACCTGGAGGAATCTCACCAAAAAGAGATGGATTGGATTGAAGTGATAGATGCTCCAAGGAAGAAAGTGCACCAAACAGAGAACGAGAAAGGGAAACTGGAGAAGCAACAAAACAGTTAAAAATGGAAAGGGTTTTAAGGTAAGGTAATTTGAGCAAAGAATCTGATAATTTTGCTGAGGATTTGCAAGGTGGGTTAACAACATCAGGACCAACATGAATCAATGTGACATGAAAGATTGGAGGGTCCTCCTCACCAACCTCACAACCAACCCCAGGCCATGGAGTGTTGGTACATGGCTCTTGATGCACCTGGGCCCAACCAGGTTCATCTAATAGTGAACCCATCACGTCAAACAGGCCTAAAAGCTCCTCCTCCTCCATCATCACCATCTCCCCTGTTTCCTCTGTTTTCCCCTGCAACCCCATCACCCCACCAGCCAAAATTGCAAGGAACCCAACAAGGTAAAGAGAAAGTGAAGAAGAAGCCATGAGAGCAAAGAATTATTACAAGACAAGAAGCAAAGGAAACAGAAACCTAGAAATTAATAGTACAAAACATTGTAGCAAAAGGGAGAGAAAGTAGAAGAATGTCTGGCAGTCTAATGTAGGGTGCAGCTTGGAACCGTATAGTTGATTTGTGTGGGTTTACATTCCACATCAGAAAGTGTGAGATTAGGACACTGTTAGTTTTTCACGTAAAAAAATGACAACAGGAGCAGGAAAATGGTGTTACATGAGTGGTGAGATTTGTCAGAAAAGATTAAAAATGGAATGGTAGGAGAGAGAGAGAGAGAGAGAGAGAGAGAGAGAGAGTTTTTGCCTTTGGAGCATGATTTGACATGGCTGTTCCTGAATATCTCCCAGGAAACCGACATAACAAGCATTGCTTTTGCAGAGATGCAATAAGCTGCAAGTGTTGTAAAGATTCTCTTCCTTCTCTCTCTCCCCATCTCCCCT